AACGGAGCCGTGCGGCAGCAAGCAAGCTGAGTGCATCGTGGCCCGACCCGCTACGGAAAGGCAGGCAGCCTGGCTCAGAGAAGCCACAGGACAGGACACCCCCTTAGGTGATGGGGGACAGAGAAGGCCACTATCTCAGGGACCAAGATGTACATCTGCCTGCACTCACGGAGAACATGTCACCAAACGGGGACAAAGGATTCATAAAACGTGCACAAAAAGGCAATCAAAGCACCAGGAAAAGAGCAGAAAGACGTAATGAGGACCCTCGTGGGAGGACAGACCCCCCCATCAGTGACCAAAACCCAATACGGTCCCAACGCCACCGACAACAGGCCGCAGGAGGGCGGCCCACCTGGCATCCCACACCCGGCACTCACCACACGCCCTCCCACCACCGCTTCCCCCCAGCAAGCCCAGGAGCAGCGGTCACACATGTGTACAACAGCACGCCGGTGCCTGGCCAGGACTGAGGCCCCCTTCCACCTTACCGTGAGCCACAGGGAAATCAGGGAACTCTTCCAGCCCTGCACGCCCATCACTTTATACCTCTAACTGGCTGACGATATACATTTAATAGTCACAAAGGAGAAAACAAGAACAACCGAAGAGGTGAATTCAGGCTCCCAGGGAGCTGCCTATAAAGACTAGCAACCCCTCAACCCCCACCCCCAGTTTAACAACCCAAAACCCCCTACCAGACCTGTGTATTTGAGGCAAGACACCATTAGAAAGAAGTATTTTGGCTCTGAGCAAATTTTCATGGCCATAAAGTTCACAATGTCATTTGATGGTTTTGTAAAGGGCTTGACGCCCATGTAATTCCTATCCCACTTTCAAGGTTACAAACCAAGGAGCATGTGTGCTGAGGGTGCGGTGTGCTGAGGGCCCCGCCTCCCTCAGCTCCACTGCCCCAGGCCACACCCCGGCCAAGCCCGTGCAAACACACAGAGTGCACAGGGTAGCACTGGGAGCTGTGGAGCCACCCAGCTCGCCTGGCACACCATGATCTAAAAGAAGGAAAGGGGCTTTTCTGACCACCACGCCCTCAGGCTCCAGGAATGCATTCATTCCCCGCATGGGATGGTCCGCTTGACACATCCAGGTCCTTCTCCCAAACCCAACACCGTTTACGGCAGTAAGGGAGCAGGCGCCCCGAGGAGCGGGTTTATTCCTCAGACGGTGCTGGGCACCGTGCCCACTGGCCACCAGCTCTCAGCCTACTTACACGAAGGGGTCAGGCCAGGCACCCCTGCGGGTCCCCGTCCACCCGTGCGCTCCAAAAGGGAAGCAGACACAGGAGGCCCATGTGTCAGTTTCTCCTCTGTCCCAGTCGGCTGAGTGATCAGGCAAGCGGCAGTCTCTTGGGCCAACTCACGTGTGAGGCCTGGACAGGTCACGCCTGGGCCCAAGGACTCTGTTGTGAGCACGACAGTGCTGTGCAAACATAGGGGCTCCCACCCAAGGGACGAGGGAGAAGGGCCCTGCTCACCGCCTGCAATGCCTCTGCTTCCAGGCAGACAAGGGCCTCTGCACCGCAGCACCCTTGCCAGGTGCCCGCCGAGGCTTGCAGAGGCCTGACTGGCCCTTGGGTGGGGCAGCCACGTGATGTCTCCCTGTCGTGTGGCTTGGTGTCTGGGACAAAATCGAACCGTGGACTACCTCCTTGGGGGGTGGAGAGGCCCTCGGGAGCAACGCCTGGGCTCCTGCCCCTTCCAGTGCCCACTGCTGACAGGCCAGCGGCCTCCTGGAATGCGCCTGCCATCTAAGATTTAATCCTCACCACCCGCTCAATGAAGAGGCCCAGCAACTTGAAGGTGGAACTGTCTGGCCCCAACACACAGGCTCACAGGAGGGTTTCAAGGAGCCCACGAATCAGGCAGAGACTCCCTGCTACAGAAGAGAGGCCAGCAGACCCCGACCTCCTGCATCCCCCACCCAGCAGGACAGTGGGGGAGGGCGCAATGTGGGTGGCAGGTATTTAGCGAGGCCCGCGGCCGGGTGGCTAGAACCAATTACCAGGGCTCTGAGGGAGGGCACCAGCAGGACTCTGCCCCTGTCCGGGGACGTCAACACACCCTCACTAAGACGGGCGCAAGGGCCTCGGCAGGTTAACAGGCAGGGAGAGGCGTGAAGAAGGGGGCAAATGGAACGGGAGGCTCTGAGTGCCTGGGGCCGCATAAACGGCTTCCTGCATTCCGGAGCAAATAACACACAGCCAGAGAGGAGCCCGCAGGCTGTGCCGAGGCTCCCCTCCTGGCGGGAAGTGGGGCTCTGAGGGGATTGCCCCCCAGGGAACCTTCAGCCCTCCTGGCACTGGCTCAGGGCGCTTGTGCTGTGGGAAGTGGCAGCACGGGCTCCCCCGGGCCTGTCCAGACAGCAGGTCCCAGGAGGAGGAGGACACAGTGGTCCAAGTGGGGACAGAGGCTTCCATGCTCCTCATGTGGATTCCGGAGGCCGATCCTGCAGCCAGGGCAGTGGGGGGACAGCGCAGTACTTTTCCACCAGCTCCCAGGGCAATAGGATGTCCTCTCCAGGCCTGGTCCACCCCCCTCCCCTTATAATTAGGTGCAGCATTCAATGTGCTTTCTTTTTAAAAATGCGCCTGACGTGGCTTTTCCATAGTTTCCCACGAGAAGCAAAGTGAAGAAGTCCTTTCATTGGTGCAGCCCAAGGTGTGTCCTCCAGAAGTCCTCCTTCCATGGGAGACTGGCCCCAGCAATGTAAGAAGGGGTCTTCGGGCACAAGCCCAGCACTCCACTCGGAGGCCCACCTACAAGTACTTCCTGGCAGGGTGAACACACTGGGCTCCTCCAGGGAGAGGACTGCCAGCAGCCTGCGGGTGGAGGGGCTGCGACCCCTGCTGGCCGGGCATGAGTTCCCACGCGCCGCTTCCTGCTCCTCGGCTGGGCCAGCCTGACACCAAGTCAACGCCCCAGGGACTGAAAACTAAGGGAAAGTGTACGGGGCTCTAAGAGCAATCTTGTCCACTATGCTACAAACCCAACAAAACTCTAGGCATTGAAAGAGAAACCAGAAGCTTCTCTTCTGTTTTCCAAATTTATTTGTAACCAATGTGTACTTTAATAACAAAAAACAATCACATACTTTTAAAAAATGACCTGAACTCAGTAAAAAGATCACCTTCGAGGTCAGGCAGAAACCCTAACCCGTGCACACGTCTATTCTGTGGGTCCTGCCTTGAACTAGCAGCCGGCAAGCAGACCACTCAGAAAGGAGAGCTGGAAGTTTTAAAACAAAATTTAAAATCATCAAGGTGATAGTAGAGAGTTTAAAGAAATTGGAGGAGTCCAGAAGAAGCAGGAAAGCCCCAAGAAAGTCACGTGTACATCAGTTCAGGAGGAAGCAGGTGGACCGACCCCCGAGCAGGGGCTAAACGAGCTATGTGCACGGGCTTCCGTCTGGGGCCAGGAGACCAGGAGGAACAGACACAGTCAGGGCTGCAGGTCAGCACAGAGGAGGGGACCTTGGGGGCGCAGGCGCCCGTGAATGCAGCCGGGCTCCCTGATCCAGACGCGGTGGCTCCTCTGCCAAAGGGCAGGTGGGGGGGGAGCGCCCAAGGACCAGCTGGGACCCCAGGAGCCAGTGCACACCATCTCTCAAAGGCACAGGGATGCCTAGGTGGATGGGGCCCCAGGTGACCCGACCAGTGAGGCAACGACCTGGGCACACAGCCCCTGAAGGACACAGAGACTCGCCCTGGCGTCTGCAGCACCTGCAGCACGGGCGGCCTCAGGAGCACGCTCCCAGGGCCCCTGTGCCGCCAGGATGGCCTGTGGCCGGGGAGTTGGCTGGTTGTTAGGAGGGCCTTCCTCCCTTCCTCCCCCTGCACCATGGTCCCTTCCCCATTTTATGAGAGAAAAGCCACCTGTCACCCCTAATCTTGCTGGGGACACTTCTGAGGCCACAAGAGCCTGAAATACTGTGCCACAAACGGTGACAACAGCAACTGGCCAGCAATGTGTCCCCTTCCGAGTCAGGGGGCCTCCAGCTCTTCCTGCACAAGGACTGAAGGACCTCCTCATGCAGTCATCCAATGGCAGATCTTTAGCAACAAACCGGGATCAGATGTGCCCCAAAGCACAGTAACAGGCTCCAAGCTTAAGGAATTCAGCAGCGCTGCCCCAACGCTTCCACTCGCGCTCGCCAGTGGGGACGAGGCTCTTGCTGTCGCACACAGGCGTGGACCCCCAGGAAGACTGTCCCCTCCAACGACGGCCAGCGCCCACCCAGAGGCATGAGTCCCCATAGGATACGCCTGATCGAATTCTACTTCATGTGCCATCGGAGGAATTTGTGATATCTACACGGTTTCCGTCAACTGCATACTAGGGATCATAAAGACAACTCGGTAAAGAAGGAAAACTTTCACTCTCTGACCTTGGTGGAAAAGAAAAATTTAAATGCAAGAATCTTTGTGACGGACTTCTGTCAGACTAAATATAAGCATTTTTATGTTAGAATCTGAATTCTTTTTTAAATGTTTATTTTTATATATTTTTGACAGAAAGAGCACGTGCACGCGAGGGAGGGGCAGAGAGAGGGAGAGAGAGAATCCCAAGCAGGCTTTGCGCTGTCAGCAGAGCCTGACGCGGAGATTGAACTCCAGAATGTGAGATCATGATCGGAGTCCAAGTCAGACACTCAGCTTACTGAGCCGCCCAGGCACCCCAAGATCTGAATTCTTAAGGACACGCTCCCAGCCGCGCTCCATGCGTCAGCACGTGCATGCCACAGTGGAGCCCATGCTGTCCTGCCACCTCCTGCCTCAGCCATCAGGCACCCTTGATAGCACGGCACCCCAACAGCAGTTGTGGACACAGTGGCTCAAAAAGGCAGTCATGGCGTTCGAACCGGAAGGTCACTTACCCTCTTATCTGTCTTCCAGCCGCTCCCAGGAGGCCCACAGCCCATGTGCGTGTCCCCATCCTGCCCTCGCGGCACCCTGCCCCCCGGGCTGGGCCCCCGCATGCACCTACCTCAGCGTGTGCTTCCCCGGTGCCCGGTGTGGCTGCGGGTGCCGGCCACACCTCCTTCACTGAAGCCTTCTTCCATTTTTTATTCTTTTTCTCTGTCACTTTGGTAGCTGTTCTCTTCCGTTTTGCCATCCTGCAGCAGAGAGGGGAAACTCCTAAATATGTGCAAAATAAAAGGTCTTGGGCCCCATCACATTTGTAACTGAGAAGGGTGCTCTCCCCTTATAAAAGTCCAAAGGCTGGGGGGCTCAGTCGGTTGGGGGTCTGACTCCTGATTTCGGTTCAGGTCATGATCTCGTGGTTCAGGAGTTCAAGCCCCACGTCAAGCTCTATGCTGACAGTGCAGAGGCTGCTCGGGATTCTCTGTCTACCACTCTCACCTCCTCTCTCCATCTCAAAATAAATAAACTTAAAGACAATATGGAAAACCTACACGAGTTATAAGAAAGCTCAAATCACCTAGTCGAACCTCCCATGAGCTGGGGAAGCTGCAGGGCACCGTTGCTGGGGCGTTTGGTCACCGTGACGGGTCTGGACCGGCCCCTTGACGTGTGGAAGCAGCACCCTCTGGGGCCACATGGAAGACACGACATGCAGTGAGAGACGATCTGACAGGCATGCTTTCTCCAGCACAGGGGTGTACAGAGCTCCAGGAAAGGCCAACAAATTCTAAAACCCATTTCCTTTGTGGGACTGTGCCGCAGGGAGCAGAGACACGGCTCAGGTCTGAGGTCGCAGTGGCGAGCCTTCCCGAGGGGCACTGGTGGTGGCTGCTGGGACCTGAGAGGGTTCCTCTGAGGGGGTATGTGGGAGGGGACACCTCGGCGTGTTTTCTAACACCAGTTGTTTAAAACTCTATTTATACCATCTACTAATATCAGCTTTCGTTCTAACAAATTATAAAAACGTATTTCATTTTATTTATGCTCAACTAACTCCCAGGTAACATCCTCCACATTCCAGGTCTCACACGTACATATAAATTGCACACGTGTACTGCATACTTACATCTGTGTTATTAAAAAACTTTACTTTTAGACGGGCTGTTCACAGCTGTGTATATGGGGAAGGGACAGAAACCCAGTGTCGTCTTCTCTGAATGCCAGAATTCATTCTGGACTCTATCAACAGAAGTTCAACAAATATTTTCTAGAGGCAACTCTGTGCCAGGAACTGTGTGGGGTGCTGAGCACAGAGCGAAAGGCATGGCACACAAGAGCCTTGACCTCATGAAGATTCCCTTGTGGTGCAGAAGACAGACCTATCACGTGGGGATGAATGCCACCAAGAGGGTAACACAGAAACGAGCAAGGGTGACGCACAGGCAGGGCCGGGGGGTGCGTGTGTCACAGAAGGTATGGCAGGTGCAAGGCCGGGCCATCAGACCCCCCTAATGGGCCTGCGGGGCAGGGAGGGCGGAGAGGGCAGAGGCCCCTGAAGGAGAGCAAAGGCTGGGTGTGTCTGGAGTACGTGGGTTCAATGTAAATTTCCCCCAAAGCAAAACTGTTTCCACGGGGGGCAGAAGGGGACAATCACATCAGGGGGTAAGCTGGTGGGATGAGGCGTGCGTGCCGTCACCCAGGGACCCACTGCCGGCATGCTCCGCTCACGCACGCCATCACGTGTTGGTCACTCTGTCACCAGTTGCAGAGTGCTGGCCACGGGCTAGGAGCTGCTCCTGGCTGGACTGGGCAGCCCACAAGACCTATTCACAGCTAACACGCTTCTGGGGACACAAACGCAGGACACAAGAGGCAACATGGACTGTAACCCGCAAGCAAACAGAGCAGGAAAACGTTACGGGAGAAGTGACTACCAAAGGGTGATCACAACGGGAAGGGGCTAGAAGCAAAGAGTACATGGAGAGCCCAGATCTGGGTTCCGAATACCATCCTCTATTAAAAAGGAAGGGGGGATGGGAGCTCCTTAAGATTCTTGGTCCAGGAACCTTTGCAGAGCAAGGAAAGTGTGAGGAGAACCTGAGTTACCAAGCTGTGCCGAAACCCAGGAAACAGGCAAATGATCACAGGGCCATGTTCAAGAGGACACAGAGCTGGAATGGAGGGCTTCCTCTGCCCCAGTTGGGGCTGTGATCAATCACAGCATATTGAAAGAGTATTACTGTTGTGGAATCAGAAAAATTCCATGCTCCACACTCTTTACATTCTTTAATTAAGCCTTATCTAAAAAAAAGTATTCAAAGCCAGAGGCTACAAATTTCAATTAGCAGTATAATAAGAAATCTTGAAAGAACAAGAGACTGTTGACACAGTGGCTTTGAAAAGACAAAGGAGTCCATCACCCAATTACCTTCTTGGAGAAATAGGAAAAGTTTAGCAAATATTTACATACCAGTTACCACAAAAGTTAAGTTAAATCTTTATTCATTCCGTAAGTTATCATTAAGAAGTTTAATCACTAAGTCTATTTGCTAAAAAGTGAGAAAGACTTTTCCATACTATAAAAAGGTTTACTTTAATAGTTCCAAGAGATGGTGTGTCTCATGACTTTGAGACAATGGATGCTTGTTATAGAAAGCGACATTTCCTTACGTTTAGGGTCAGTGATTTTCAACAAGGGCGCCTAAACCAATTAATGGGAAAGAACGATTTTTCAATACAAGGTGCTGGGACACCCAATCTCCCGTACGCAGCAGGACGAACTGAGCCCTACCTCACACCAAACACAAAAATTAACTCAAAATGGATGCTAAACCTAAGTGTAAGAGCTAAGACATAGGAGTACGTACATCTTCATGACCCTGGATCAGGCAACAGTTTCTTATACAGGGCACCAAAAACACACACAGCAAAAGAAAAATCATGAATAGTGGACTCCTCAAAATTAAAAATTTTTGTGCTGCAAATGATTCCAACAAAAAAGTACAAAAACAACTTCAAGAATTGGAAAAGATATCTGCAAGTCACGTAACTGACAAGAGACTTGTACCCACCATATGCGAAAAATTCTTACAACTCAATAAAAAAGACAACCCCAGTGAAAAATGGACAGAGGATTTGAATACAGATTAACCCCAAAACAACATACAAGTGGCCAAGGAGGACATGAGGAGGTGCTCAACATCATCGTTAAATGTAAATCACATGAGATGCCACTCTGCACTCCCTAGCTTGGCCCCAATAACATCATGTCATCATCATCCTGGTGATGACAGGAAGACTTGGAACCCTTATCCACTGCTGGTGGGACATAAAGTGGTGCAGCCACTTGGTACAACAGCCTGGCCGTTCCTCAAAAGTTAAACATGTTGGGGTGCCTGGCTGGCTGTCAGTAGAGCATGTAACTCAATCTCACGGTTGTGAGTTCAAGCTCCATGCTGGGTGTTGAGATTATTCAAAAAAAATTCAACATGTTACCACGGGTCCCAACAACTTCACGACTAGACATCTATCAAAGAAAATGAACACATGCACATAAGAATTCACATGCTCCTGTTCACGGCAGCATTCGTCATAATATCCAAAAGGTGAGTAAGCCTACAGGTCCAGCAACTGCTGAACAGGTCAGAAGACGCGGGGGGCCACGCGATGGGACGGCATCAGCTGGCTGACCTAGGCAACAGCCGGCCGCAGGAGAGGGGCCAGTCACAGCCTTCCACGGATAGTACAAGCTCATCTACATGCCGTGTCCAGTGCAAGAGCATGGCTCGGCATGTGCTCAGGGCTGGCGGGGCAGGGGCAGGAGGGGCTCACGGGTCGGGGTCACTCCTGGGAGAAGGAAAATGTTCTGACGTTAGGTTGTAGAGATGGTCACATGATGCTGGGAATTCACTAACATGTGGGAAGATAAAAACAAACCACTCAAATGTCTCTCAAATTATTTGTAATAAATTTAACAACAAAACGCCCCTGTACTGGTTTTCCTTCTGTTTTTCCCTTAGCGGTAACCCCAATTCGCAGAGTTGGGAGGCAGGCGTGAGTGGGTCTGTGGCGTCCAGCACACCCAGGGCCAATAAAGCATTTGTCAGCTTCCCAGGCGCAGCCGGACAACGCAGCTGCCGACACGGGCATTGGAGCAAGCAGCCCGGGGAGCGTCATGGCCCCCTCAGAACGATCAAGACCCCTCCTTCAATGCTGCCTTTCCCTCCCAGGCCTTTCCGCAAAACAGCTAGCGGCTCACGAAGTCAGCCAGCTTTGGCGGGCCCTGTACTTGGCAGCCGGGAGGGAGGGCAAGTGGAGGGGCAGGGGTGTCAGGAAAGCAAATCGTGAAAACTCACAATCACTGAGAGCTTCCCAGATGCCAGGCCCTGTTCTAAGTGCTGGTCATGTGCCAACTCGGTTCCTTCGTGTGGCCAGTGAGGGAGGCACATGGGTGAGGAAACCAGGGCACCCCTCTCGGAGGGGCACACCAACCGAGTCACACACTGAGATCGCACTGCCAGCAAGTGTGCAAGCAACCCCACACGAAGAGCTGAGAGACTATACCACCAGCCTCCCAGGAGCGGGCCAGGGGTGGGGGTCAGGTGCGGGCAGACGGCGGCTTTTCTGCCCATCATCCACAAGTGCTGGAGGCTTTTAGCTGCACATACATGTCACTCAGCTCATTTGATAGGGTAAAAATGCCATTTTTAAAATTCTATTATTCAGTGTTAGCCAGAGGATGATGAAAAGGCCATCTGCCACCACGCCTGCTGAGAGGAGAAGAAACAGGTAGTCTTTCTTAAAGGTAATTTTATAACACTTATCGAGTGCTTTCCACTTTCAGGAACTTCTCCTGCAGAAACAATCATGGGCCGAGACTCATATATGAGGAGGACAGTGGCACTGTGCAAAGCAAGCTGACGCCTCTAATGTTGAGAAGCGGAAACACGGAAACTGTCCCACACTGCGGACAGGGAAAATGAATGACGCCCAAGGAGCGCCTGCACGGAGATCGTGCAGAACATCCGGCCACAGGGGTCAGAGCTCACGGTGCAAGGCGAAGGGAAAAGATAGGGCATAACGTACGTATGTACACTACGACCCTTGTTTTGTAAGGAAAATTGTACACAAACACAAAGAGAAAAACTAGAAGGAACTACGTTAACATATTAACATTTCAGGAAGTTAGAACCCAAGTATGGTTCTCCCCTCCTGCTCTTCTGTAATTTCTACTACAAAAGCATGAACACACCTTAGGACACCAGCTCAGACGTGTTCAGTGGAGCGAACACTTCCACCAGCAGAAAACTGATGACCCAGGTCAGACACACAGACAACAGCTAACTATCTGGCGAGGCTACAGCCACGGGTCAAGATGCTTTGGCACCAATCAGCTCAGGCTGCCGGGTCTCCAGGGCTGAAAAGAAACCCCCAGGTTCTCAAAAAAATAACTGATCCTATAGGAAAAAATTCTTTTAAAATCTGAAAATCCTACCTGCAGCCCCCAATGACCCCTCTTACCCAGAGCATGTGACCTCTGAGGCGTCCTGGTGGGCCACAGGGAAGGGCGCCTCCCACTCACTGAGCCAAGACCCCATCAGGAGGGTCCAGGCCCTCACAATCCACAGCCCTCGAGGAAATCAGTCCAAAGAGTCCGGGAGCAGGATCCTAGCTCCTGAGCCAGGACTGGGACTTCATTTCTGTCCGTTCTGATCCAAACTTAGTCTGAGTTCTAACTTTCACACTTACACGAGTGGCCTCCAGATTCTGCTCTCTTGGTACCTGTCCCACCCCTCCCTGTTACTATTTACTCACCAAGACCCCTCCAATCTTTCCAGCTCACCCCCACCCCCGCCCTCAGCACCCCAGTGTCCAATAATCCTTCAGCCTTTCCAGGGGACCCACCACAATCCCTACCTCTGCCACTCACCTGGCTGACCCTCTCCTCTCTCAAACCTCCAACGTCTTCTCCCTTCTAGCTGAGAACCTTAATTCCTGATCACAGAGAAAAGCAAACAAGTGGAAGGGAACTTCTACCAGCTCCCACATCTACCCACCTGCCCTTGTCTCCTGTTCTGACGGAAACTGGCCAGGTTGCAAACAAGGCCAAACGCTCCACTTGTGACCAGAGTAACAGCCCTACCGGTGCAGGGACATCACTCTAAACAACTACCCTCCCACGCGGTCCCAGCTTCCAATCTACTCGATCAACTGAAGTTTCCCACATGATAAAAATAAAAACTCTCTCGATCCCACATGCTCTTCACCCTATTTCGTTAAACCCTCTAGAGCCGCCTGCGCCTCCTATAACCCCTTCCCTCCCACCCTCTCCCCAACCGTTCCACCACAACTGGTCTTCTCAACATCACCAATGACACCATACGGACAAAGACTCACTGTGTGACCAAACCACCCAGGCTCCCCTCTCCAATGGGCCTCACACTTGGCCTACAGACAAATGAAGAAAACACTGACATAGTGTCTAACAGTTCAAGGCCCCATCCCTTAGATGACCCTGGCCCCCTTACAAAGAGCCTGCCTGAGAAAACTCAAGGCTGCCAAAGAGTCCAGCCAACACCCGAACACTCCACCGGACAGCTTGTGGAAGGCTAGGAGCGCACCTTTGAAAAGCGCTAGTTAGCAACCTCAGGTGGCTTTCCCCGGGACCAAGAGCCCCTTCTTGGTTTTTGTAATTTTTCACTTCCTAAGTCTAATGAGCGCCAGCCCCTGCCCCTTCCCCAAGTCTCCCTTCAAAACACCTACTCACCTCAGGACAGATGGCCATTGAAGTCAGTTCATTTGGCCTTGTCCCTACCGAAACACTGATCACTGATCAAAATCCACCCTTGCCGCTTTGCTCATCACAGACGTAAAATCTCCTGGCAGAGTCTTCATACTCTCCTTATTTGACCTAACAGCTGTATTTGACAGCTGATGCCTCCTTCTCTAGGCTTCGGAAACAGACACCATGCCCTCCTGCTTTACCTCCTCCCTCTTCACCTCCCCTCCCTGGCCCTGGGCACTCAATAGCTCCATGCTTCCTGCCCAGTTTCCTCTCTATCTGCATTCATTAGCTCAGGAACTCATCTAGTGTGGGGGTTTAAACACCCACCATCTACCGACCACCTGCAATTTCTCCCTGAACTGCACTAGTACACACTACCACCGACACCCACACATATCGCCTCAGGCACAAGGCATCAAGATCAACACTTGTGATAGTCCTGTAGCACCTGTCCTTTCCACGAACAGCCATCCGTTGAAATTCTGACTTCTCAAGCTAAAGACTGTGGTGCCCCACAACTCCTGTATCTGACACAGCCGATAAGCCTGCGGGCGTTGCCTCCAAAATATATCGGGAAAATAGTGACTACCTTTCAGTCCCTGTACCATTACTACCCACCCATCTGCATTACTCCAGTCCCGGCCCCTGCCCCTTCAGTCCCTTTCCAACACAGCACGCATGATGACTCGTAAAACGTCCAGGTCAGCCTCTGCGGGACACCTTCCCGTTGCGCTCGGAGAGGAGTCCGCGTCCTCGCACAGGCCTCGCGGGCGCACGTGGCTGCCCGGCGCCCCTCTTTCCCCCGCCCTCCGGCTTCTGCAGTGGCTGCTGCTGCTGCGCCCGGGATCCCTCGAGCTGGGGCGTCTGCCGACACCGACACAACCCACTCTCCGTGCCCTGCTCCGCCTTATTTTCCCGCAGGCTCCCACCACCACCTTATTTATTGTGTTCTCAGAACGCAACGCCCCAAGTCGGCATCGTCTCCGCGGTGAGCCCGGCGGGCGCCCGGGGCCTGAGGCAATGCGGACGCGCGGAACCCCATCGAATATTTCAGTCAAGGGACGGTTTGTGGCCATGGGGATGCCCGGCTCGGAGGGCACACCCCAGGGCAGCAGGCGGCTCAGATCCCGCACGCACTCTGCGGGCCTCCGCCTGTCCCCTCCACCGCCATCTGGGCCCGCACAGCCACGTGGCAACCACCCAGCGACCCCCGACCCTGCAGTCCTTGCCTACCTGCGCGTGGCAGCCGACGCGAGCTTCCGGCACGCACACCGCCCAGGTAACAGGGTCCCGCCTCCCGGAGCGGCGTCGCCCATTGGCCGAGGCTCGCCCCCGTCTGCCCGCCGGCCAATGACATGCTGCAGCCGCGAGGGGGCGGGTTCAGGCGTGGACGCGGGCTGGTAGCGTCATCTCTGGGAGCCGCCGGTTGCCGGGAGCCGCGGGTTGCCTAGCAACCTCCCGACAAACTAGCGGCTGGGGCTGAGATGCCTCTCGCTGCTTTCGGCCGCGGGGGCGGGGCGACCCCAGGCCGGGGGTCCCGATCGGTCTGTCTGGGCGCTCAGGGGTTCGTCTTAAACATACGCATTTGTATGAACTGAAGATGCTGTAACGTTAGAACCGTGCACGACGTTTGAATACCCAGGGTTTCAGATGCCGCACAGGTGGAGCCCCAGGAATGTGGTCGTCGGTCTAGGGGTCGGGGCCAGCCCGCGGTGTGGGCCTGCGCCCCCCGCCCAGATGGCCCCACATGAGTGACAGGTGCCCAGGTGAGGGGACTGTCGCTACCTCGGAGCATCAGGGGGTCCGGGAACCAGACCGCTGGGCAGGCAGCGCGGGACCACAAGAGGGAGCAGGTGCAGCTCCACGGCGCCTCCCCTGCTGCTAGCACCTTGAAGGTACGGCTCCGGTCACATCACAGGCCGTTCTCCCGTGTGCGCAGGTGCAGGCGGGTCCAGCCTTACTCACCTGGGGATGCGCGCACGTCGGGGCGGGTCCCGCCTCGTCCACCTCGGGATGCGCGCACGTGCTGCTCCTGTCACAAGCCGCCTTTTAGCACGCAGGTGCGGGGCCGTCCAGCCTTACCGACTTCGGGACAAACAGTCCTGCTTTCAAACTGCCCCGACCGGCCTTGTGACAACATGGAGAAAAGTTTTCATCCAGTATAAGCTTAAGTAGTATATAATGCAAGTAAACATATATAAGTAAATGTATAATATATTTAGTTTTGCCCTTATTTCCCCAAAGCACTTATAATGTAGGAATAGGTCATTCAGATCAGTCTTCCATTGAGAACAGCAGAAAAAGCTGCCCAAAATATTATCGTTTCAAAAATAATTGTGTTCATCCCCAAAAGCAAGGGAATCAAGAGCAAAAATAAATTGTTGGGACCTCATCAAGATTAAAAGCTTCTGCACAGCAAAGGAAACAACCCAGAAAATTAATAGGCAACCAACGGAATGGGAAAAGATAGTTGCAAATGACATATCAGATAAAGGGTTAATATCAAGAATCTATAAGGAACTCACCAAACTACATGCCCGAAAAACAAACAACCCAGTGAAGAAATGGGCAGAAGATATGAACAGACACTTCTCCAAAGAGGACATCCAGATGGCCAACAGACACATGAAACGACGCTCAGCATCGCTCCTCATCAGGGAAATACAAATCAAAACCACACTGAGATACCACCTCACGCCAGTCAGAGAGGCTAAAATGAGCAAATCAGAGAACTCTAGATGCTGGCGAGGATGTGGAGAAACGGGAACCCTCCTACACTGTTGGCGGGCATGTAAACTGGTACAGCCCCTCTGGAAAACAGTGTGGAGGTTCCTCAAGAAACTAACAATAGAACTCCCCTATGACCCAGCAATAGCACTGCTAGGAATTTACCCAAGGGATACAGAAATGCTGAGGCATAGGAGCACATGTACCCCAATGTTCATAGCAGCACTCTCCACAATAGCTAAAACATGGAAAGAGCCTAAGTGTCCATCAACAGATGAATGGATCAAGAAGATGTGGTTTATCTATACCATGGAATACTACATGGCAATGAGAAACAATGAAATCTGGCCATGTGTAGCAACATGGATGGACCTTGAGGGTGTTATGCTGAGCGAAATAAGTCAGGCAGAGAAGGACAAATATCATATGTGTGCATGTATAGGAGGACTAGGAGGAACTTAACAGAGGACCAACCGGGAGAAGAAGGGGGGGAAATGGGGGGGGGAAGGGAGAGAGGCAAACCATGAGAGACTCTTGAATGCTGACAAAAACTGAGGACTGATGGATGTGGGGGGGAGGAGGGATGGGCATGGAGGAGGGCACTTGTGGGGATGAGCACTGGGTGTTATGTGGAAACTAATTTGACAATAAACTATTTGTAAAAATAAATAAATAAATAAAATTCTGACAGCTGAAAAAAAAATAATTGTGTTCATGCCATCAGTGTGCTAATTTGATAGTGAAATATTCTGACAGGGAGTATAAAAGAAATCCAGAGCACTAAACTTGACATTTAGCGACACTTTCCACTCAGGGTTCAGTCCATTCTGGAAGAGGCAGAGACCTGAACAAAGATTTTGACAGCGTGGTGGGCTAGGACTGCTAAGGGGGACGGTTCTTGTAATGTCCCATCTTTGAGCTGAGACCCTGAAAGGCTGCACCAGAGGAGTGAATATGAACAGAATGGACCAGCCTTAAGGGGACTTCATAAAATCCATATTAAATTATCTCAGTTTCTGAAACTGCAAGTGACTTAAGGTTTATCGTTGGTGCTGCTAGCTTGCTCTAAAGCAGAAAGGGTAAAACTGTTCTAGAAGAAAAGTCTAGTATCCTGTGCCCCAAACCACAACTGCTCATATAGTATGTCCAGCACTCAATAGAAAACAGCTGCTTACACAAGACAACACTTGAGAGAAAACCCAGAAAAAGCAGATACTATCTTCACTGTACAATGAATTGCTGACACTCTCAGCCAACACTTTAACTTCATGGGTCTGAAAATGTCCCCTTCCTGATGGCCAGCTCCAGTCACATGCTAACGGGATGTCTATGGCCTGTAGCACATCATGACTGTCTCATCACGGTGTGTAATTCCCTGCAGCAGAGGGCACAGCTTTGCGCCAAACCCGAGGGGACGGTGCCAGAGACCACACGGTCTCATAAACACGCCAGTGTGTCTGTAGTTCTCCTGGACCTTCGCAGTTACCGGGCCCCAGTGCAGGACAGCGAATGCTACAGGCTGAGTCTGCTGCAGGGCCTGCCTGTGCTTTGGGCCCCACTCAAACCCACCAGACTACCAAGTTTCCCAGTAAATGAGTAGTGGTCACGTTAACTATGGTCCGTGCTGCCTCCCACTTCCAAAAAGGCTATTTTCTGCCTCCCTGTGGCAGAAAATTGTTTGTTTTCTATGTCTGCATTACAAATTAACACAAAACGTATTCGTTTAAGCCCATAAACTTAACAGCTTCACCTCACAGTCTCTGGGGGGTCAGAAATGCCCGAGTGGCTGAGCCCCGTGTCTCTGAGAGAAGGTCCCTCACAAAGCCACAGTCAAGGCGTCTGCCAGGGCCATAGTTTTGTCAGAAGGTTTGTCTAGGGGGACAGTCCATTTCCAAGCCATACGTGGCTATTAGCAGGATTCACTCCCCACAGGTGATTGGGCTGAGGGACCTCAGTTCTCGCTGGCCGTCAGGAAAAGGCTGCCGGAGTTCCTTGTCACATAGGTTCCTGCACAGGGCCGCTCACAAAACAGCTGGCTTCCCACGGCACACAGGAGGGGAGTCACAGGCTCTTTGTACCCACATACTGTATGATTCTATTTATACGAAATGTCCAGAACAGACAGGTCCAGAGACCATAGGTTAGTGGTCCCCAGGCACTGGTGGTGTGGAGTGAATGGGGAGTGTTTAGTGTGTATGAGGTTTCCTTTTGTTCTGGAACTAGATGGTGGTGATGACTGTACAACATTATGAGTGTACTAAACGGTGCTGAATTATTCACTTGAAGATGGTTTTAAAATAGTGAGGTTCGTGTTTCTTACCATCATGACAAAGGTGTTTATTCCTCCATAAATGTGGTTGTGATTCACGTCAAAGATGGCAGTGTTCGTTTGTGTCTGTGTATTTCCAGTCGCCGGCCCCGTCGCCCCTGCCCCAGCCATCCTGGCTGAACTTTGTTGAATATGTGGAACAGTAACAGGAGTCTAAGAGTTAAGACTGCACGAGAAAGTACTGTACCCCTCCCAACACGCCTCCCTTATCCCCACCCACCCCACCCAGGTAGCCAGCTTCATTCGTTTGTCCTGTCTCTTTTAGCAAAAATAAGCAGATGCGGGGCACCTGGGTGGCTTAGTCGGTTAAGCGTCCGACTTTCGCTTAGTTCATGATCTCGCAGTTCGTGGGTTCGAGCCCCACATCGGGCTCTGTGCTGACTGCCAGCTCAGAGCCTGGAGCCTGTTTCAGAGTCTGTGACTCCCTCTCTCTGACCCTCCCCTGCTCACGCTGTCTCTCTCTCCTAGAAATAAATAAAACATTAAAAATTAAAAAAAAAAAACAAGCAGATGCATGGATGCTTATGATACTTATTCCCCCTTCCCTACCCACAAGGCAGCACTGCACACGTTCCTTCCAGCCAACAGCACATCCTGGAAATCTTCCATCAGTTCCTCCTTTCCTACAGCTTCTCGTGGCCCTGTGGGTGGATGTACTGTGGCTCACATAGTCAGTACCCATTCACAGGAACTGACTCCAGCTGTAAATTGAGCTGCACCAAACAGTCGTGCACACATGTGTTTTCCTGTTGTTGGTGGCATGTGTTCAGGATAGACTCCTGGGGTGGGGCTGCCAAATACAGATTAATTTTGCTGGGACGGCCCGATTCTCCTCTGTGTGACTGACATTTAGTGTTCCCCCTGCCACATGTGGGTGGGTATCTTGCCTACAGCCTTACCAACAGAGTGTGCTTTCAAGCTTGGATTTCTGCTCATCTAATCTGAGAAACAGGACCTCAGTGTGGTCTTAATTTGCCTCTCTCCTAACTCAGGTGAGGCAGAACCTCCCTCTCTAGGCCTGGGGTCATCCTTCTACACTCATGTGGTGTCACTGCATCCTTCCCCCGTCTTCCCATCGGTCTCCAGTCTTTGTCCCCCTTTGTGTACTAGAGACATTGACCTTTATCTGTGACACGTGTTGCAGATACTTTGTCCTAGTTTGTCACCTGTGCTTTGGTCTCGAGCACGGCAATCTCTGCCAGGCAACATGCTTTGTCACTATGAAC